CAGCCAGAGGGATGGTGGCCAGGAAACCCCTTCCTCTGGACCAGGAGCAGTGGGATGGTGGCTCAGAAGCCCCTCCCTCTGGGCCGGGAAACCCCTTCCTCTGGACCAGGAGCAGTGGGACGGTGGCTCAGAAGCCCCTCCCTCTGGGCCGGGAACAGTGGGACTCAGTATCTTGGTCTGGTGGTCTGGTGTCCTCTGGGTCTTTGTAGTGTGGAATCAGGTGGCTGCCTGTCTGCGGCGGGGTGATTCGGTGTCTTTCGCGCGACTCAGGACCTCGGTAGGGTGTGCACAGAGCTGCCTGTCTGCAGCAGGCTGATTCGGTGTGTTCCGCACGACTGGGGTCCTCGTAGGGTGTGGGCAGACCTGCCTGTCTGCAGCGAGGTGATTCGGCATCTCGATTCTAGGAATTTTTAAATTTTTTGCCCGATTTCTTCTATGACTCACTGATTATTCAGAAGTGTTTTATTTAATCTCCATGTTTTGCTTAATTTCTCTAGTTGCTAAGTCAGAGACAGTGAGAGTAACATCACTATAAAGCCCCAAGGAAGGAATATATCCAACAAGGAGAGTAGTTAAATAAAAAGAAAAAATAAGGAATCAGCAGTAGAAAAATACTGCATTTACAAGATTCTGTAAATATGTTTCAGTAAGAACACTCAATAAATGGTCTTAATTCCCTAATGAAGGGATATAGATTGTATCCAAAACCAAAACTCTACAACATATTTCTAACATAGCTCACCAACAAAAGATTTATTTGAAAAATATAAAAGTACAACCTAAGAGGAAAAAAATGGTAAAAGACACAAATAGGTAATTCTTAGAACATGAAGCATTAGGAAAGAATGCTCACCCTTACTGGTAATCAAGAAATACAGGGGCTGGGAATGTAGCTCAGTGGCACAGCACCTGCCTGGCAAGTTCCAGGTCCTGAGTTTGATCCCTGGCACCAAAAGAGAAAAAAAAGAAGAAATACAAATTAATACCAACACAAGTAGCTCCACATCTGAAAGAAAATTAAGTTGAACTCATTTTATGCCATGTACAAAAGTAATTCCTGGTGGATTTGAAGACCTTGTGAAAAAGGAAACAATAAAAATCTTTAAAATTTTAAGAGAAATACAAGCTGGGAATGGTGGTATACACCTGTAATCCCAGCTACTCAAGAGGCCAGACTGGGCAATTGAGTAAGACCCTGGCTCGAAAACATTGTTTAAAAGGGTTGGGTATGTAGTTCAGTGTCAGATTGCTCCTGGATTTAATCACAAACAGAGGTAGAGGTAGACAGATAGGAATATAGTGTATACTCAAAGAAATAAAAGGCTAAAAGAGAACACTTACTATAATAAAAAATTTTTCTGGAGCAAGATATAAAAATATCACAAGTGATCTTAGCAATGGTGAGAAACCTAGTTGAAAAATTAACCAGATATATAGATAGGCAGTTTATAGACAAAGAGAACAACAACAAAAAACCTAATAGACTTGCCTTGCATGTGTAGACTTAAGAGGGCCTTGCAAAGACCTGCTTGCATAAGTAAGCACTGGGTTTGATCCCTAGCACCATAAAAAAAAAAAAAAAACAATAAGCTTTTGAAAAGATGCTCAGTTTTGTTAGTAGTTCACAAAATTAATTAACAATGGATATTACACACCAGAAATAAAAAAGTGAAACTACAATCAATGAGCATACAACAGAAAAGACACTTCACATATTCCTGAGGGCAGTATGAAGGAGAACATGAAGTTTACAGTAGACCTAACCATTTACTTCTGCATGACAAAAGATACCATTAACAAGCTTAAAAGTAGCATTCTTAACTGGGAAGAACATTTGCAGTTGATATAAAGAACTATAGAGCCCAGGATTTAGCTCAGTGGTTCCGCTGCCTCCCTCTCCAGTGCAAGGTCCCAAGTTCAATCCTCAGTACCAAAAAAAAAAAAAAAACTAGAGAGATTTCTATAAATCTGAAAGATACATAGGAGAAGATACAGATGGCCTGTAAACATGAGATTATACCAGACTTTGTGCATAATTCAGGGAAATGTAAATTAAAGCAAGAAGGTACAGTATTTGAGCCACTAGATAAAAGTTTTTAAATCTTCTAACATCAAAAGTTAAGAGAGAAAAAAAAAAAAGTTAAGAGAGAAACAGGTACTACTCCCTGTTCTGCTGATGGGAGTGTACCCTGGACTCCAGATATCCTGGAGCCAATTTGGTATTAGAACTTGATTTTAAGTGAATATAGCTTATGACCCTTCAAGAGATACAAGTGACAAGGGGGCATGGATAAAATATTCATTGGAAGCCACTTAAAAAGTTTAGGAGGGAGGCTGGGGATTTAGCTCAGTGGTTCCGCTGCCTGCCTTGTTAGGTGCAAGGTCGAGTTTGATCCCCAGTACAAAAAACAAAAAAAAGTTTAGGAGGGAAAAGTTAAACTGTAGTATATGTATATTGTAGATTTTCTGTAGTGCTTTTATTTTTCTTTTTTCTTAAATTCTTGTATTAGTACATTTTAGGTATACAATACATTTACATTTATCATTGGG